TCATAATAATTTTCAGTGTTAAGCATTCAACATTTTGCATATGTGTTTCACCCATTGTATTGTTTGCTTCTTCCAAATATTAATGTTTCTACATTTGCCACTTTGCACAGCTAGTGGCACAGAATCTCAATAAATGTTTGCTGAATTGAACTAAAATGGAAGCAAAAGAGGATTCCATGAAGGAGTTAGAAATGAAGAAGGAAGTCTTTAGAAAAAGAATTACGGGCCTAACACAGAGAATATGCTCAAAATTATCAGTCATGTTGGTTTGAAATAGCGTAGTACATTATCCAAAAGGAAAGAAATAAAACATTTGGATAAAAAAATTTTTCGCTAATAGTGTCAATAGATTCATGGGCAGTACAATAAATAAGAATTAGCTTCCTTTTTTGTTTGTTTATTTGTTTGTTTGTTTGTTTTTGAGAAAATAAAGAACTTTATTACAAGGTCGACCAGCAAGGAGACAGGAGGAAAAGCTCTCAAATCTGTCTCCTCAATCCAGAATTGGGGTAAAATTTAAGGAGTTGGGGAATTTCAAACCCGGAGGCTGATTGGCTAGTCTTGAATCAGTCCATATAAGTTACTCGTGATACTGGAAGCCAGATTTTCCTTTTTGAAGGGCTTCTTGCTCAGCTTCATGAAAAGGTCCAGTGGCAACATCTGACAAAATCTAACACCTCTTTACAACAAAAACATCCAACAAACTAGGAATAGAAGGGAAGTTCCTCAACTTTATAAAGAGCATCTATGAAAAATGCACAGCTAACATCATACTTGTTGATAAAAGACTGAATATTTTCCCCCCTAAGATCAGAAATAAGACATCTCTGTTCTTGTTCTCATCACTCATCACTTCTAGTCACCTCTAGTCAACATTGTATTGGAGAGGTTCTCTCCAGGGAAATTAAGCAAGAAAAAGAAAAAAAAAAAAGGCAACCAGTTGGGAAAGGAAGAAGTATAAGTATTTTTACTTGCAAATGACATGGTCTTATATATAGAAAATCCTAATAAATCCACTAAACATCTGTAAAAATGAGTTAACAAGTTCAGCAAGGTTGGAGGATACAAGGTCAATGTACAAAAATCAATTCTATTTCAATACACTATCAATAGTGATCTGAAAATAAAATTTAGAAAATAATTCCATTTGCAATATCATCAAAAAGAATAAAATAATCAGGAATAAATTTAATAAAAGAAGTACAAGACTTATACTCCAAAAACTAAAACATGGCCGAAAAAATTAGATAAGATCTAAATAAATGGAAAGCTATTTCATGCATCAGAAGACTTAATATCATTAAGATGACAATACTCTCAAATTGATCTACAGATTCAACACAATCCCTATTTTAAATTCCAGTTGCCTTTTTTCTAGAAATAGAAAAGTAAATGCAAAAATTCATATGGAAATGCAAGTGACCCAGAATAACCAAAAAATTTTGAAAAAGAACAAAGTTAGAAGACTCACTCACACTTCTTGATTTCAAGACTAACTATAAACCTACAGTAATAATTACAGTGTGGTACTGACATCAGAATAGATATATAGAATAGATTGGTTGAATAGAATTGGGAGTCCAAATATAAACCTATACATGTATGGTCAATAAGTTTTGACAAGGTTATAATGACAATTCAATAACAAAAGTATAGTCTTTTCAACAAATGATGCTGGAACTGGATATCCACATATAAAAGAATGAATTTGGACCCCTACCTCATAACACATAAAAATTAATTCAGAATGGATCAACAAGATAAATGTAAGAGCTATAACCATGTAACTGTTAGAAGAAAACACAAGCATAAATCTTTGTGCCTGTGTTGGAATAGGCAACTATTTTTAGATTTAACACAAAAAGCAGAAACATCAAAATAAAAAAAAAATACTTCACCAAAATTAAAAACTTCTATTCATCAAAGGACACTATCAAGCAAATGAAAAGACAACTGGGAGAAAATATTTACAAATCATATATTGGATAAAGGTCTAATATTCAGAATATATAAAAACTCTGACAGCTCAACAGCTGAAAGACAAGTAACCCAGTTTAAAAGTGGACAATGGACTTGAATCAACATTTCTCGAAGAAAATATGCAAATAGCCAACAAGCGCATGAAAATATGCTCAACATCATTAGTTATGAGGGAAATGCAAATCAAAACCACAATGAGTTACCACATCACACCTACTAGGATGAATTTTTCAATGGAAAAGAAGTATTGGTGAGGATGTGGAGAAATTAGAATCCCCATATGTTGCTGTTGGGGATGTAGAAATAGAGCAGCCATTACAGAAAACAGTTTGGAAGTTCCTCAGAAAGTTAAACATAGAGTTATCTTATGACCCACAATTCCACTCTTAGATATATACTAAAGTGAATCAAAACACACCTTTGCACAAAAAGTTGTACACAGATGTTCATAACGGCATTATTCATAATAGCCAAAAAGTGGAAACAACCGAAATTTCTATTAACTGATGACTAGATAAACCAAAATGTGACATATCCATACAATGAGCTATTATTTGGTAATAAAAAGAAATGAGGTATTGATACATGCCACCATGCATGAACCTTGAAAACATTATGCTAAGATGCCAGTTACAAAAGACCATATATTGTATAATTCCACTCATATGAAATGTGCAGAATAGGTAAACCTATAGAGACAGAAAAGTAGTTGAATGGTTGTCTAAGGCTGGGGGAGAAGGGTGGGAGGGGTTGGGGAATGATTGCTAAGGGGTACAAGATTTCTTTGGGGGTTGATGAAAATGTTCTAAAATTGATAGTGATGGCTGTACAACTCTGAAAATGTACTAAAAATGATTGAGTTGTATACTTTACATGGGTGAAATTTATGGTATGTGAATTATATCTCAATAAAGCTGTTAATTTTTTAAAAGTCATGGGTATTAATCCCAGCCCCAAAACTTGTCAGCATCACCTTGGCAAGTTGTTTAACCTCCCTGAAACTGTCTTCCTTTGTAAATTGTTAAGTTTTATTTTCCTTTTCATTTATTCAATATTTATACATAAGATCCCTCTCAAAAGAGAACTATAAAGTCAAAGATATATGATAAGCTACACCTTCAACCTAAAACTCTTATTGGTAAATGATCACGTGGTTCCTGTCAAATTCTGAAGTATTTGAGTTAATTCAAATTTGACTACAGCAGTGGCTTTCAAAATTTTTTGCCTGAGACTCTTGGTCACATTTGCACAGCTTACCGTGTACCACACCGTATTCTGAGCATTTAATAAATATTATTTAATCTTCACAATAATCACAGTAAGATAGCTGCTATTATCTGTTTTGTTTGTTTGTTTACAAATGAGAACATTGAAACCAAATAATTATATCACGTTCCCAAGATCATAGATAGTAAGTAAGTAGTTGAGCCAGGATTCAACTTCGGACAATCTGGCTCCAGAGTCTAGTGTCTTAACACTTTGCTCTGTTGCCTCTCAAGTATCCAGAACAGGTACACCCACCACACACACACGCATACATACCCCTCCACCCCATCCACCTACCTACAGAGAACTGAAGTAAAAGTTTCACCAGAATATGTACCCAGAGGAATACCCTGTGGTATTTTCTATAAATATTCTTTATATAATATTTTGAATGAGTTTAGCAATCTTAAGCAAAACAGAACTCACTATTTGAAAATGAAGATTCTTCTAACGTGGACAAACAATTCTTTCTTCTCCTAGTTGGATTTCGGAGCAGGATTGAAATGCCCTGCCCCAGTAGCTGCTTAGAGAGCCCCACCCACCCTCAGGACATAACTCAAATCCAACCTTCTAGTAAGATATGCCTAACACTGAAATCAATCTTTCTCTCCCCTATACCCCCACGGCAAGTTTTTGTTTCAGTTTCTATTAAAATATTTGCTTTATTGTTTTCCTGAAGGTAACTTACTGGTCTGCCCTCTCTTAGATTGCAGGTTCCTAAGAGATGTCTTTTCCTCTACTTCATATCCCTCATCGGGCCTTGCACATAGAATGCGTAGTAACATTTTTTGAACTGAATTAAATAAAATTGATAGTAATCCCTTAATAGCATTATATTAGGAAAAATAAAGACACTGAAAGAGTATCTTGAGGGAATAAAAAGAAGGAAGAATTCCTTTCAAGCTTTCCACAGTAAAATAAAATAATTTTCTTTGATTCCTTTGTTTGGGGGATAGCCCATTTCCTTTTTTATAGCTAAGTTTTAATTTTTATGTTTAAATTAGAAAGTAATGTGAAAATTAAGTTAAAGTTTAAAAACTATATAAAATTCTTTGTTTTTCAATAAAAGAATTACCAATTTAATTACCTAAGATTTCTAAATGAATAATTTAAAAAATAAACCAATTTAACTACCTAAGATTTCTAAATGAAACTTCACCCACTTTCAAGTAGGGTAGTTTGTACATTTTGATGTTGCAGTACAGTTTGTAATAAGGAACTTTGCTTTATTTACCATAGCTTGCAAAATAAGGAAATGTGGTATAAAGCATATTATTAGAGAAAATTAACTATGGAAAGATTAATTGAGTCTTTGTTCAATTCTAAATAGAAAAAATGAGGACATTTGAATTTAGTTTCCTTAAATAATTAAAAAATGTTCCAAGAAAAACTAGGGATATTAGCACAGAATAACTTTCTCAGCACAACTTTATGCAGCGTTTGCCACCTTCATATTTTCCTTGTAGGTGAGTGCCTAAAGCCATTCAATTATTTTTTCCCAGAGTTTACATAGCATTTACAATGCACCATTGTTCTAAACACTTTATAAATGCTAACTCTTTTTATCCACTTGACAATCCTATAACATAGCTTCTAATACTTTATAGATTAAAAAAACTGAGGCAGATTAAAAAACTTGTCCAAATTCATACAACTAGAGAGTGACAGAGCTGGAATTCCAACCTAACTTCAGAGTTTTTGCTCTAACACTAT